AAAAAAGCACTTGGGAGGCTGAGGCAGGAGGATTGCTGGGAGTTCAAAGCCAGCCTGAACTACAAAGTGAGACCCTGTCTCCAAAAACAGTAACACCACCAACACCCACAAATCAGATCAAAACAAAACAAAACAAACCCCTCCCAAAGTCCAGCGGGGTGCTGTGGCACACACCTGGGAGGCTGAGGCAGGAAGATTACAATTTTCAGTGCAGTTTGAGCAATTTATCAACCTAGAGAGACCCTTATCAAAGTGAAAAATAAAAGGGGCCAAAAAAAGGGGGGGTCAAGGATGTAGCTCTGTGCAAAGGTACGGCAATAGATAAACAATTGAAAAATAAAACGCTTCCATCCCGGCACCAGGAATGGAGGGCTGTCACTGGGTCCTGGTGCAGTCCCCAGCCAGGGTCCCCGGGCAGTGCACGCCCGGCTGGTGAGCAGGCGGCCTCGCGCAGGTACGGGGCAGTTTGCGCGCACGTCTCCCTCTCCCTTCCCCTCCCCTGCCCGGCCCGCAGCCGCCTACGTGCCCATCTGTCCCCTAGTCCTGCCCAGCTGCGGGCCGGCTGGACGCTGACCGGAGCCGGCGTCGGTTCTCAGCGCGCGGGCGCCCTCTGCTGGGAGCCGGGGCCTCGATCCGCTCTTCCCGGGGGCGGGGATGGAACAGAGTAGCCAAACTGGAATCTGGGGACTGCAGTGGGAGGGCTGGGCACAGAAGAACACAGAGAGGGTGTGGGACCTGCCCGGGGCCACACAGCTGGTGGGAAGAGAACCCTGGTCGCCAGACCGTGACCAGGAGGGGATAAGAAACTTGCTCCTCACTGGAGAGTTCAGGACCTTCTTCCCCTTGTGCACATACGAGTATTTATTGAGCACCTGCTGTATGCCAGACAGTGCGAGGTCACAGGGGGGACACGGCGGAGCACAATAGGGCCTGGCCCTGCCTTCCTGCAGTGACGCTCTAATGGGGTGGGGACAGTGCAGACAATGTCTGTAAACACCATTATCAGACCTGCAGGTCAGATAAGCCCTGCGGCCCCTGACGTGGTCACCCACCCACAGCAACGTGATTTTTGGCCACATCCAAGCCTTGTGTGGCATTTGCTTCTAGGCAGCTGGCTGTGGCTCGGCCACTTCCGGAAGGCTTCCCGTCACCTCTCCTGCCCCAGTGTCTGTGGTCAGTGTCCCATCCCGAGGGTGTGGGGGGGTCATCATTCTTGCTTTGTTACTGCCCTTGCTGTGGCATCTCTCGGGCACTGGTGCCCTGTAGTGGCCCTTGAATCTCCCCTGGGAGCCCCAAGATGAAGCCCCAGCTGGGCAGGGACACAGGTGGGAAAGCCGGAAGCCTGGCTCAGCCTGTCTGTAGCACATTTCCAGATCCCGAGGGAGACGCTGGGGAATTCTGAGGTGCAGGACTTGGTCTTGGCTCCCAGGACAGCACTGGACCCTCAACACTCAGCTGTCGATGGCCGGCAGCAGGCAGGAGGGGTCCTGGCCAGGCCGAGGGTGGCACTCCCTGGGCACTCTCGGTCCCCCACTGTACTTCCGTCTAGCAAACACTCAGCGGGGCACAGGCTGGGGGCCACGGAGGCCCAGGACCATGGGGCTGGAAAGGGAGGCCAGGCTCGGAGCTGGTGCTGGGCGCCACTCCTGGCACCAGGTTCTCCACAGAGAATAAGCCAGACAAGCTGCCCACCGCAGTGAGGGAAAGGCAATCACCTGCCAGCACTGCAGGCTTGTGCAGACCTGTGCACAGGTGACAAGGACAGAGCGTGACTGCAGACAGCCTCTGCCAGAAGGAGACTCCACAACCCGAGGGCAGGCAGGGCAGCGGGGAGCCAGCCCAGTGGGGCAGCTGTGACGTAGGGGAGGACAGCGGTGGGTTGAGAACATCATCTTTGTCCACTGTTGGGCTTCTGCCGTGCTCTGCTGAGGTGCTCTGTCTACCCCCCCCCCCCCCTTTCTTGAGGTTGGTTGGTTTGTTTCTGAGTCAAGGTCTCACTGTGTAGCCCAGGCTGGCCTTGAACTCACGGCAATCCTTCTGCCTCAGCCTTCCAGAGTGCTAGGATACAGGTGTGCGCCACCAGCCCGGCGCTCCTTGAGTTTTGAGACAAGGACTTGCTAAATTGCCTAGGCTGACCTTGAACTTTCCAGCTTCCTGCTTCAGCCTCCGCAGTGGCTGGGCCTGCGGGTGCACCTGGCTGACAACGGGGCTTCTGCTGCTTCCCCCTCCGGCACTGCCCAGGGACTCTGGTGAGAAGGGACGCGTGCACCCGAGCACCTGGCAGTGGGGTGGCAAGAGCCCGCTGTGCCAGCCACATCTGTGCTTCAAGCCTCTGTACCCACGGAACTCAGCTGACAGCGGGCATTGGCAGCCCACTCTTTTCCTTTCTTTTTGTAGCACGAGGGATTGAACGTGTGCTTTTGCACCAAGCTACACCCCCAGCTCCCCAGCTCCTTTTTATTTTCAATTTTGAGACAGGATCTTGCTAAATCGTTTTTGTTCAGATTGGGCTGGAACCTGCAATCCTGCCTCAGCTTCTTAGAGTGTGGGGGTGGGGGTGGGTTGGGGTTCCCAGGCTTGCACTGCCGGATCCAGCCCCTTTCAGGCCTAAGGGTGGGACTGAAAATGTCCCCTGAGCTGCACACATACCACCCTGGCAGTACCGCAGGGCCACCAGGGCTAGGGGAGGCTGCCACCCGTCACCAGCCCTGCCACTCCTACCCACAGCGTGTCCTGGGAGACGGGCAGGGGCGCCCAGCCTGATCTCTCTTGAAAGTGAAACTTTAAAAATTTTTATTTTATTTTCATTTTTGCTGCACTCGAGACGGAGCCCAGGGCCTCCTCACACCAGCAACGCTCTGCTTCGGAGCTGCACCTGGGCCTTGAATTTGTCAACATGTAAATAAACGCCCGCGTTCTGGGTGGAGCGCCCCCTGCCGGGCAGCCCCCGTAGCCCCAGGTGCGCACGCACGCGCACGCGGGGACATTGAGGCCGTCAGGAGAGGTCCGGCCTCGGGGGAGGCAGGCAGGGCCCCAAACCACAGGGTAGAACACTGAAGGAAAGTCCAGGAGGAGCAGCGGGCAGGCCACGTCCCACTCCCGTGGGAAAGCAGCGGTGGCGGAAGGAGGGGCCGGCGCGCACGCGCACTGCGGGCCTTCCCAGTCCCGGGATCGTGCCGGGGCTCTCGCCCTGAGCTGCATCCCCTGGCCCCGCTTTTTTGGTGTTTTTGATATGGGCCTCCCATTGCAGTTCATGCTGGCCTTGAACTGGTGGCAACCCTCCTGTGATTAGTGTGCACCCAGCACTTTTGTTTTTACTTTGATACGAAGTCTTGCTAAGTCCCTAAGTGGCCCAGGTTGGGCTGGAATTTGTAATCTTTCTGCTTCGGCTTCCTAGAGCGCTGGGATTCATGTACGCCAGGGTACACAGTATCTAAACTAAAGTAGAACCAAAGCAGGGTTTCTAGCTCACTCTGGACCCTCCTAGTGTACAGGGGAGAGAGGATTTACTACCAGGGGCTTGGCTGTTGTTATGTCGTTCTCTGGCTGCGTGGCTGTGACTCCCTGCTGCAAATGACAAACCTCCTGTGTTCCGAACCTTTAACACAATGGGAACTGGGCAGTTTGCTACCCTGAATCACGCCTTGTGACTGAGTTTTTCCATGCTGGCCGCACCTGGTGGAGATCTGCTGAGCCACAGAGCCTGTGGCCCTCGGGGCTCTTGGAGGCCAGAGGACACGGCAGCTGTCTCAGGGGACAGGCCAGCTGCTGTGCAGAGGCCACAGTGGCTGTGAGCTGGCTGTGGCCCATTGGTGTGTTCACCTTGTCCTACACAAGGTCTGGGCCCTGACCTCCTGCCTGCACGGTGGGTACTGCAGAGCTGAGTCGCTAGGCCTGGGGGCTGGCTCACACCCACCTTGACAGGGTGCCTGCTCAGTGGAAGGGTGACAGGAGCAAGGAGTTGGCTCTGCCGAGGCCTTTCTCCCAGACCACTCCCCAGGGGACAGCGATGGGGTACAGCTGGGTGCGCTCCCACAGCCCAGCCAGCATTGCTTCTCACACAGGAGGAGCCAAGCTGCGAGCAGCTCCTCTGATTTCCTCCTGAGGAAGGGCAGGTCCCTGAGGTTGAGCACCAAACTTCCTCCGCGGATCAGGGACACTGGCCAGGAGAAGCAACACGACTGTCCCCTGCTTCAGGAGGGAGAAGAGGCCACACAGGGATCTGCTGGCAGGTCTCTACCTGACCATGTCCGCCACATATCCTCAGAGCAGGACTACAGCAGCGGTGTCTCCATCCAAAGGGACCTGGGCTGTCTCAAGATCAGGACGCCGTCAGAGGCCAGGACAGGCAGTGGACCTGCTTCCCAGCCCAAGGGGGTACTTTCTGTACCCACGGCTCTGCTCTCAGGTCACTATTGAGCCTCCTTCTGCCCTAAATTTCTACACAGTAGAAACACAGTACAGGAGCTGACCTGGTGATAGGGGGCGTTACTGATACCTAGTTAAGCAAAATGTTTCTGTGAAAAACCCGTCTAGCTGGGCACAGCAGCATATGCCTGTCACCCCAGAACTCTGGGAGACGGGGGCAGGGCCCATGGCCCAGCCAGTCCGACCAACTTCTGGAAACTTTTGTCTCAAAATAAAAAAAGGCTGGGGATGTAGCAGTCCTGGGTCCAATCCCCAACCCTACATGGCCAGGGGGCCGGGGCGCTGTGTTCTGAATTTACCCACATGAATGCTGGTGTCCCTCATAGAAGCACTTCTTTATTTTTGTCTTTTTCCTTTTCATCGGTACCAGGGATCGAACTCACAAGTGCCTGCTTGCAAGGCGCCGCTGAACTAAATCCCCAGCCCCAATATAGAAGCACTTCTATAAAAGCCTTTTTTGCCTGCTGGCCTAAAAATCCTAAATATTCTTCCACAAAGACGGACCCTGCACCTGAAACATTACATTCTGTCCCTACTGAACAAGCCGAGGAAGAAGGGCCCAGCCTACGAAATATGAACGCACACTTGTGTTTTATTAAAATCAGGCGATGGTCTGACAATAAAAAGGCTGCGTAGGGAACACTGTTAAGTGCAACTAGAGGGCGTGAAATCCGTGAACTAAGGTTTTCCCTAGAAAAGGATGGATGGAAACTGCTTTGCTTTGCAGACTTGATAGTTACTGCTTTAAAAGGTGGTTTTACACAAATACTAAAAACCCCCTTCGGAACACCACGAATCGCTTTATTTCGGTTTGCATCCACATTTCAGCATTTAGTGGTCCTGAACAGCGGGAAAAGGCAGCAGGCAGCAGGTGCCAGGCCGCCAGGCCGCTCCTTGGTCCCTGCCGAGCAGAGAAGCAGCAGCACCAGAGCCAAAGTCCACACCTCGGGTTCTTCTGTGCAGCCGTCAGATTTCCCTCCAGACCCAGATGGAGCCCAGGGCGGCCAACGAGGCCCTCGAAACCTTCTCCAACGCTTCAACGCGGCGTGGGCAGGGGAGGGAGCCATCCAGAGGGACTGCTCGTGCTGACCAGCATCCTTGTGTGGCGGTGCTCCAGGTCTGCTGGCAGGGACGTGAGCGCTGGCAGGTCTGCTCTGTTCACTCATCAGACCTGAGCTAAGACATCGGCTGACGGTGACAGCGGGTGGCAGAGCCCGGGACCTGGCGCCCTTTCCCAGGCTGGCAGAGGATGAGTGACTGGGTCCAAAGCTAACGAGGGAGGTCAGAGGCTCTTTCCAACCTTATCTGATGGCTTCTGGCCAAGGAAGGAAGGGTCGTGGGAAGTGTTGGGGTGACAGTGTGACAAGGGAGAGGAGGAGGGAAAAAGCAGCACCCCTCGATCAAGGTAGGGGACAGATGGGGGAAAGCCCTGAATTCCTCACCAAAGGCCAATTTCAGAGGGAGACAGAGGGTTACAATCTATGCTTCGGCCAAGGGTGGGAGCGGAAGGGTGGGACAGGTCAATGGCTTGAAGGGGGCGTCACTTAAGACTTAAAAAAAAGAAACCAGGGTGCAGGCAAGCACCCCCCACACCCAGCAGTAGTCCCACAGGCAGCAACCTGAAACCTTCACACCCACTCAGCCGCCACCCGGCCGGGGCGGGGCGGGGCGGGGCAGGCGGCCGGGCTGAGCCGGCCCTGTCGTCAGCAGCAAGGTGGTTGTGTGATGCGTCTCTTCACAGTTAGGTCAGATGTGCACCACCAGTCCCGATGGGAATCAATTTAACACACTTCCTTGATCCCAGAAGTTCAGCTATGCGGACAGTGGTTACACTTGACAGATGATTGGTTATAGCACAACTTATATATTTCAAATGGACAAAAAATTAGTATCATTTACAGTATCTTAAGATAAACTGCCTTTGAATGGGAGCTTCCTTTCCAGTACTTTGAGGTCTACAAGACGCAACTATAAAATTTACTACTGTGGAAAATGAAGACTGCTTGAACCGAATTGGGGTGGGGGTGGAGGGGGCCCGGGGGCTTTGATTAATTGCTGTAACACTGTCCTTCAGGCGGCTGAGGAAGTTTCATGTTTTCCTTAGACATCATTAAGCGCCGAAGCTCTTGGAGAACAACTTTGATGCTATAGGAATTCTGCCATTTTGCTAGCACTGATATGGCTCTGGGATCCACCTATGAAAAAGGCAAACAAAACCAAGTCACTCCCAGCTCTCGCACACGACAGCCGCATGCCAGGACGAAGCTCCGTAGTCGGGCGTGATGCCCCTGCCAAGCTGAGCGTGATCACAAGACTACAGGTGGCGTGCGGAGCTCCGCTGCAGGGTTCCCTCCCTGCTTGGCCTGTTTTTCTCTTTCTTTCTTTCTTTCTTTCTTTCTTTCTTTCTTTTTTTGGTACCAGGGATGGAACTCACAATCTTGCGCTTGCCAGATGGGCTGTACTGCTGAGCTACATTCTCAGCCTGGTTTTTCTTTTTGTGTCCAAAGATGGGAGAAGAAAAGGGTGGCACAGGCCCTTGGTGAGATTCACCACCATGGCTCACAGAGAATAAATGCCCTGGGCTGGAGGCTGCCACGCCCAGGACAGTAAGGTCCAGGCTCTGGTGACATCTCTCAGCTCAGTGCAGCATTTTCAAAGCAGAGCGGGACACGGGCTTTACAGGGACTCAGATGCAGCAATGCACAGAGACAAAAGGGACAGGGCCCTTCTCTCCGAGGTTTCCTGTGCAGCCTTCTGAGCATCCCAAGGATGCAGGCTGGGCACAATGTTCATAGGTCCAGCACCCTGCTGACCTTTCTCTGGACAAGATGGCAGGCCTCAAGGTTCAAAGCTTTACAGGCTGTCTATGCAGCAGGGGGATATGCTGGGGGGGAGTGTGATGGCAGGACACTTGCCTGCCACATGCAAGGCCTGGGGTTTGATCACCAGTATCACCAAAACTGAAACAAATATGTCTGAAAAAAATTGATTTTGGTTTTTTTTTTTTTTTGTCAAGATAGGTTCTTGCTAGGCAGCCTAGGATGGCCTCAAACTCACAGCGATCCTCCTGCCTGAGCCTCTCAAGTGCTGGGATTACAGGCGTGCACCACCATGTCCAGCAAAATCTGAAATTTTTGGTCATGTTACTGTTTAAAATTTTTAGATTTTGGGGGCTGGGGATTTAGCTCAGCGGCATAAGCGCCTGCCTTGCAAGCAGGCAGTCAGGAGTTCGATCCCCGGTACCGATAAAAAGGTAAAAAAAAAAAAAGATAAAAAGTTAAAAAAAAAAATTTTAGATTTTGGACTTTTTTTTTTTTGGTACCAGGGATCAAACTCATGACCTTGTGCTTGCCAGGCAGGTACTTAATCCACTGAGCAAAATCCCCAGCCCCTGGATTTCAGATTTTGAGATGAGAGAAAAGTTAAGGCCCAGGAAGTAACGGTACAGGCAAGATCTTTTACTTCTGTGCCCCAGTTTCCTCCAGTCTACCTCGTGGGGCCGTCTCGGAGACTGAGCTCCGGAAGTGGCTGGCGTACAGCAGGGCAGTGAGTGCAGTGTGACAGCTGAGCCCACATGTGTAGACACGCGTGCTGGGACCCATCGCCAGGACATTCGGGGGGAGGGAGGAGGGCCCAGCCCAAAGGCCCATGCTGTTAAACTCAAATCTCAACCCAGAGGAATGAGGGAGCAGAAAGAACCACTTACCACTCCATTAGAACTATTGACTCCATTCATATTAATTTTTGTTACAAATCTTACGAAGGGGGGTGCTTCTGGGTATTTAGGTCCACATTCTATTTTAAGGCTGTATATTCGGTTTTCATAAATTGTCTGGAAAAGAAAGGGGGAACAGATGTCAGGGAATTATAAACAAAGAACTCGGAGTGCAGGAGCTCCTGACACCCGCTTACTCCTGACCCCAGGGAGTCACATGCCAGTCACTGGCCCACTCCTACCCCGGCTCGCAGTTCTGGGCACTGGGGAATAAAACGCTGTGCATCACTGAAGCACCACGATGTCTTAAGCTGGTGTCACTAAGTCCAACCAGAGGGACAAGGGTGTTTCTCTGCCCTGCTGACCTGTCCTGCTCCGGGGCAGGGGGGTGGTGGTGGTACAGGAAGCCACCCCGAGTGTCCACTCACAGGCCGGCAGCTGCGCAGGAAACACCACTGTGCACAAGGCAGGCGCAGGCCCCCCAAGGCGCCGCCCCGGCTCCCCACTTCCCTCAGTGGGCTGGCTGCTGCCAAAGGGGCCCTACTGGAATGTGCACCCCTGTGGCCTCTCTCCTTGCTAGTTATGATGACCCCAAAGTCTGCTGGCATTTAGTGGGGCTCGTGTAAGAAAAGGCAGCTCTTAAACATGCCAGTGGTGCCTTGGTGGAGAAGGAAGTCAACCCCCTCCCCAGAGACTTTCCACTGCTCTTTTTTGTACCAGGAACCGAACCCAGGACCTGGCACTTGCCAGGCGAGCGCTGCACCACTGAGCTAACCCCCTGGCCCAGCCTTTCCATTGCAATGCCCACTTGTGGCCTTGAAGACCCAGTGCAAGCCACAACTTAGATGCCACAACTCAGCCCTACTCTACAGAGTAGCTGATCCACCCCTGACACAAAGCTGGAACATATTTAATAAGGTTCATCAATTGTCAGAATCTTAGTCATTTCCCAAACGAAGGAAATCGAAATTCAAATGTGGGTCTCTACCTCCACCCAGCCTCACGCCGCCCCTCCTCTTCCCTAAAAAGCAGTTTGCTGAGGTCTCCAGAGGCCCAGCAGCCCCCACTCGCTTCCCTCCTCTGCCACCTGCCAGCCGTCAGCAAGAACCTACTGTTTCGACCCCCAGAGACCCCACATCTCTCGCTAACCCACGCCGTCACCTTGCGTGAACGCCCACAGCTGCTTTCTCCTCACTCACCTGCTAGTGCACCCCACCTCCTCTCTCAGCCCCTCCCGCCCCATTCCTGTCCCAACGCACCAAGTTCTCTCCGCCATGAGGCCCCATCACAACAGCTGCGCCCTCAGAGGTCCTGATCCCCGCCCGAGGACCAGAGTGCCCTGAGCACAGGGCCAGGAGCAGGCGCTCAGCAGCCCGTCCGCAGCGTGGGCCAAATGAATGCATGAATGAACGAACGCTGCTCTCCACACTCTCAGAAAATGAACACTACCTCACAATTGAGGTGTTCCCTCCAAGGAAAAACATCCCTCAGAAAACAGAGCAAGTAGGAAGCAAACAAGGACACGGCTGACACATAACTCTCGGAAATCAGAGTAGATGCATCCCCAGCTCTCAGCCCTGGGCCCACCAGAACCATCGGGCCACTGGGTCCAGGGCAGGCAGGACCCCACGCCAGCACTCACGCTCCCTGGCTGGTTGGTTGGTAAGTACACATGTAGGGACGTTGGTATTTACTGGGACAGGGTCTCACTACGTAGTTCACCCTAGTTTTGAATTCACAATGTAGCCGAAGCTGGCCTTGAATTTGTGATGACTCTCCTGCTTCAGCCTCGGGCTGTTTCTTGGGGTTTTTTTTGGTCTTTTTCCTTTTTATCGATACTGGGGATCGAACTCACGACTGTGCTTACAAGGCAGGCGCTTATGCCGCTGAGCTAAATCCCCAGCCCCTGTTTCTTGGTTTTAATCACACAATTTAAAGACAAAATTTCTTACATACGAAGAATTCCCTCTGGGGAGCATGGGCTTGTGGTAATTACCAAAACCAGGGCTTTTACCATTCCTTTTGTCCAGTGCAGAGGATGAGTAAGAGCTCTGTCTGGCAGCTTGGCCACAGCCCTTAAAACCCTGTCCGTGTCCTCTGGAGGCTGCACTAGGGGTCATCGGAGCCGCGTAGGTTTTACTCACATTTTGTCTGCAGTGTCTAACGGCGGAGAGGGTGGGCAGCTTAGTAACAGGGCTCCGAGTACCGCACAGGCCAGACCGTCTCAGCGCTCTGGACACCAGCAGGTCCAAGAGCCATGGAAAGGCCAGGAGGACCTTCTTAGGAGGAAACATGGCTCCTGATTTCCTGTTTTATTTTATTCACAAGTGCTCCAAGTACCTGCTGAAAGGCTTCAGCCTAGGAAGAAAATGTGTCTGAAGGAGAACGGCAGGCACCTTCTGCTTATGTGAGAAAATGCTAACTACCCTGATCTGATCATCATACATGCTAATTATTGCTATAAATATGTACAACTATTACATATCAATAAAAAAAACAGGGCAGAGTTCAGTGGTAGAGCTCTTGCCTGGCATGTGTGAAGCCCTGGGTTCCACTCCTGGTACTGGGGCTGGGGGCGTAAGTCCTGTAAGTATTGAAAAAACCTTAAAAATACTCTCATTATTTGATCACAGACGAACACATCCCACTCCGATGAAATGTCTTAAGTGTCGGGGTTAATTCAGCAGTGCCCTTCAAAACGTGCACAGGTACGCTCAGACCAAAGCCTTTTCTAGTCACTACTACCTACTCACGTACAAAAGTGTAAGGTGCTGTCTGCAATGCTACAGTAACTATCCACACCCTAACTACCCGCAGAGGACTCATGCACACACGCGGCACACATGACGGCCGCGGAGACAGCAGGACGCCCAAAGCCCATCACAGCAGACGGCAACTGCCTCGGCGCGGGCGCACCTGTGCACACAGCTGTTTCTCTATTCACAGCTACAGGCCCTGGGTCTGGGGATCACAGTTTTCCTGGGCTTAAAATATATATTATGGGATAACCCAGCCTAATCACACCCCCCCCCAAAAGGGCAAATTCCAACAGAGACAAAATCCCTGCCCAGTACTCCTCCAAACTGTTAGGGGAGGGGCATCAATACAAGAAAACCCTGAGAAAGTTTCACAGCCACAAGGAGCTTGCAATACTATGGCTAAGTGTAATGTGGGATCTGGCATAGGGTTCTAGAACAAAAAACCAGACACGAGGTTAAAATGAAGAACATTTAAATACAGTATGGTCTTCAGCTAATAAACCGGTTCACTAGGGGCAGAGACACCGCTCCGTGGCACAGCACTGCCTCAAGTGTGAGGTCACGAGTTCAATTCCCAGTACAAAAAAGAAACAAAAAGGACATGACATTGGCTCGGTAGTTGTGACAAACACTGCACTAAAGATAAGACGCTAACAACAGGAAATGGGGGCTGGGGAATGGTACACAAAGAACTTTCTATACTCTTCAGTAAATTTTCTGCAAGTAAGACAGCATCTGCTACAAACATATACAAAGAAAAACACACAAAGACAATGTAGGTCAACCAGCTAGCTGCCACTCAGCTCTTAGCAAGTCAGTTTTTTCTCCTTTGGGTTTTAGAGACAGCGCTCACTAAGTGGCCCAGGCCGGCCTAGAACTCACCACTCACAACCCTCCGGCCTCAGCCTGAGAGTGCTAGGATTACAAGTGGGTGCCTCTGTGCACCACAACAAATCAAGCTCACCAAATTCAAATCCAATGTAGTAATGCATAAATTATTTGTATGCATGCGAGCACAAACCCAGGCTTTGCATGTTAAGCATGTACTCCACCACTGAGCCACATCTCCTGCCCTATAAACTATATTTACTGCGTGCATGCCATGCCAGAACAGAGTATGGACCTTCTAAAAAGTGACTGCAGAATCTAAGACAACCTGAATGGCTCCGGATGCAGATAAACCCACAGCAGCTGTGACAGGAGACAAGCCACCTTGCCATCCATCGGTTTTGCTGGGGAAGGATGGGGTTGGAGGGGTGGGCGGGGCAAAGGTTAGAGAGGGGTAAAATACCACAACAGGGATCTAAAACAGAATTTAGCATTGGGAACTGCTTAAACAGGTTTTGAGGAATGAAAATGGGAAAAAAAAAAAGGTACCTGCTTCCCGAAGGGAGGAGCCGCAGGGGGAGGTGGGTCTGAGGCGGATCAGACTGGGCCTGGGGAAGGGCTCCAGGACTGAGCTGGGACCTCTGTGGCCCTTGGGGGCACAGGATGGAGGAGCTGGGATGAGACTGGTCTGAGACACAAAATCAGCTCAAGGCTAAACCCCAGGTGCAGGTGCCAGGGTAAGGGCTGTTACCAGAGCAGCAGAGACAGCGACGGGCAGAGGTGCGGCAGAGGCCCTCCCGTCCCCTTCCAGAGGCCTCCCAGAGCCCCTGGCTTAGAGAAAGCAGCTCAGCGGAAGGCGGTCAGGGAGGGAAAACCCGCTTCCCAGGTCCCGGCCTAGGCAGAGAAAGGTGGGCTGGGAGCTGCCTGGCCGACCAGCCGTCCCTGCTCAGTGACAAGGTGTAGTCATCCTGAGAGCCCCACCTCTTGGGGGGGCCCTTCTGAGTACCCCAGGGCCCCAGGCAACAGCACTCATCTCTCTGAGTCAGTCTGAAGCTAAACACATCAAATTCATCATATGATCTTCATATAAAACCTGGAGAACACAGGCCCTGGTTTTTTTCTGTTTGCGTGCTGCTCCTGTTGGGAGCCCCTCACCCCAGCAGCCAGAGCCAGCTCCTACAGGCAGCTGGGCACACACCCACAGCACCTGGCCTCTGGCTTCCCAGCGCCGGGCGGTTACTGTCTCCCACAGTACTAGTGTGTTTCCACATTGCCTGTTTTTGTTTTTCAGCCCAACATCCATTTGATTGCCTTCTAGATTATGTATCTTGGTTGAGACACCTAGTATGGGGTACAAATCCAAAAAAAAATGAGTTCACTATTTTTTTTTTTTTTTTAATCTAGATCTCACAATATGACTCAGGATGGCCTTGAACTCCTGAGGATCCTCCTGCCTCAACCTCTCAAGTGCTGGATGATGGGTGTGCACCACCACACCCAGTGAAATCAGTGCCTGCAAGAGAGCTGTAC